GCTGTCACTTGCAGAATGAATCAACTAGATTTAGAATCGAGCTGAGATACCAATCATAGGCACACATGCACACAACTAAAATATGTGTCTATTTTCTCCTACTTAGGCACATAAGGGGTGAGAAAATTTATAGATTGTAGCTCCAGAGGGGTGGAGGGGAGCCTATTCCTAAAGAACTAGAAATATGACAAAATCCCTAATTAAGATTTTGCAAACATTTCCCTTCCTCCCCTTGCCTGTTTCCCCCACCAATAATAATCCCACTGTGGCAACATTAAAAACGGCTAAGAGAAATCACAGCAGTAGTTACAGCTGTCCCAGAAGCATCCCATAGCCCAGGCTGCCTCCCACCCATAGTGGAAGTAGTATTACTGAACCTGGCTTTGGGTCTCCTCGATCAATGTGCAGCAAAGCCAATCTACTGACACCAGGTTGTGGTGAAGGAAAGTACAGCGTTTATTGCAGGGCCGAGCAAGGAAAAGAGGCAACGCATGCTCAAAAGACCCAAACTCCCTGATGGTTTTCAGCGAAGGGTTTTTAAAGGCAACGTTTTGGGTGAGGGTTGCAGCTTCTCTCTCTTCTGATTGGTTGTTGGTGGTGGTGTTTTGAGAATCTTAATCATTAAACTTCTGGTTCCAACTAGTCTGGGGTCTGTGTGCTTGTGGTCAGCATGTAGTCACCATCTTCCACCTGGGTGGTGGTCTCAGTTTTTGCAGAACAACTCAAAGATATGCGTCAGATGGTTATGTACATCCCTTGAGGGGGAACTAGGACTCTGTTTTATCACTGAACTATTGCTTAAGCTCTCATTACTTTTCTTGCTTAACTGCTTTTCCTTTGTTCCTGCTTTGCCTCACTTCCCTAATTAGTAACTGCTTGAATCTGCTCTTGGGAACTCAGGGAAGGCCTAGGAGACCAAAGCCTTTTTCTACAAACAAGAAATGGGACATGGAGTGACTTTGGTACCGGGGAGGGCCCTGCAGGGTCCTGCTTGGTTCCAATAACAAAGTCCATTCCTGCCATCACACAGAAGCACACGCACACACACACCACCACCAGTGGCATCACCACCACACATGTGGAGTCCACCCATCACCTGTGGATGCTTCTCTCACCACTTCTTTTCTGCCTTGAAGGTGTTGTGCACCATCCCAACTTTGGATGAAACGTGATACCCATCTGGCTACTGCTAGATGGAAGTCGGTAGTTAAGACCATCCAAAGAAGGAAGAAAAGAAAGAGAGCACCAGGGCATCCTTCCAAACATTTATTTAACACCTTCTCTGGCTCTCTCATGTTTCTCCAGAGACCTCAGAAAAAGAAAAATTTCCTGGAGTTTCTAATTGCCTTTATTTTTATTATGAGGAGGCATATGCTTTAATGGCATCATTAAAATCTTTTACTTTGTTAATTATACAATATCGTGAATATTCATATAAAAATCTTTTTATGGACAGAAGGTTTCATTTTTCTTGGGTGGTACCTAGAAGTGGAATAGCTAGATCTTATAATTAACTTTAGGAGCGAGTGTTCTATAAATGCCAATTAGGTCATGTTGATTGTGTTATTCAGATCTGCCATATCATGATTACTGGGATAGGAAGAAAGATGCATAGAGGGGCCCTATGATCTCCACTCCCTGGTGTTACTCCCATGATTAAATTATGTTACGTGACAAAGAGGCTTTTATAGATGCAATTTGTAGAAGACCAAAATATGTCACCCCAGAATATGCCTCCTTGTCATAAGGATTATTTTGAACTGATTATTCTGAGAAACAGAAGGCACAGGAGAAGCTCTGAAACTCAAGTAGAAGTCACCCTTTTACAAGAGGAGTTTGTTACGTTTACAAAGGAAATCTCCGTTTGTAAGAGTTTCTCCTCTGTACCTGGAAGAGAAGGATGACTATAAATCACAAGAGACTCTTTATCAATGGATAAGGTACCAGCTTAAGTCTGCATAACTAGTCTTACTTTTATTTACCTTACTTTTCCTGATCACTCCCATAACTGGCCTCCCCCGCACCCTTCTTTCTCTGTTTTTAGCTGAAGGCAACGATGTTTAAGCCTGAATTCTAAGCCCATTCCCTGAGGATTACTCATTTCTCTGGTTATCTCTCCCAAGAGCTATACATGTAATAAACTTTAGTTTGTTTTTCTCTTCTTAATCTGTATTTTATTATAGTAACCCCAGAACTTAGAAGGCTAGGGGGAAGATATTTTTCCTCCCCTACACATTTAAAATGACTTATCAGTTGACCTCAAGATTAGGGAGGCTGGGCTTCCCTGGTGGCGCAGTGGTTGAGAGTCCGCCTGCCGATGCAGGGG